TGTTGCGGTTTAGATGTTAGGAGTGCTAGGACCCCAAAATCACAACCAACAGGTCCTGCCTGAAAGAATTAAAGACAAGGTTTATTAGAACATCCATCATATTGAGCAGACTCTTAAGGAATCTAAGCATTTGTATCGCTAATGCCAGCGGGCCAGATCTTAAGAATCTGAGCATTTGGCTAGATTTTAAGAATCTGAGCACCTAAATGGAGACAAGATGGACTTTATAAACAGAAAGACGGTGGGAGGGATCTAGGAGTGGCCAAGTAGTTTGAGGTGACTGAAGGAGGGTCTAAGAAAGATCTGATTGAGAGCAGACAGTAAGCCAGAGTGACTGTGAGGTAACAGAACGCCTGGGACCTGAATCACATGGTCAAGGAAGAATGAAGTCTACATAGGATTAGGAGTTGGAAGTGGAGGGGCCCTCAAGAGGTAATAGACAATGGAGAGCTAGGTAACAGAACTGGGAAATTGGGTATAGGTGATAATGAAAGGTAGGAGTATAGCCTCAGGTGGTCGCCAGAGATTTGGCCATGTGGGAAAGTCCAAGGTTTTTCTTTTTTCGGGTCCAGATCCCATCCTCATCATTATGATCTTCATTTTGCTGATGAAGAAACTGAGGCAAATAGTTCAAGTGACTTGCCCAGTGTAATACAGCTATCACCTGTGGTAGGTGGGATTTGAACTCAAGTCTTCCAGACAGTAAGCTTATCTCTAAATAAAAGATGAAAAAAGCAACAAACTATTGAGAAAATGCAAGACTATGGCTATAATTAAATTGTTTGGATGAAACAACAAAAAAGGTAGTGCCACAGACAGGCAGTAAAAAGAGAATTAGAGGATATGATGGAGTTTATCAGTAAATAAATATTTGTTAAATGCTCAATGGGTGTCAGGCCCTATGCTTGAACTCCAGGAATAGAAACACAAACAAAAAGAAAGACAGCCCCTGCCCTCAAGGAGCTTACATTCTAATGGAGAAGATAACATATTAAAGGAATCTGAGAAAGGGAAAAAGAGAAGGAATCCAGGGTGGGGGCATGGTGGAGAAAATTGGGAGTTCAGCCTAATGGGAAAAGAAAAGATGGTTAGCCTAGGGCCCCTCCTTAAATGAAGATTCCAGGAGGTGCCATCCCAATCTGAGGGAAGGGCCCCAGGGTCAGCAGGTACTTCTGAAGCATAAATTTGCGGACAAACAAGTAACCTTTCCAGGATAAAGAGATTTCTGGAGCACGTGGAGAAGTTCTGAGGAGAATAGAGACTGGTGGGAAATGAGGAGGGTTGGAATAAGACCAGAAAACACTTTTGTAGTTTTTCTATCATAAATGTTTTGAGTGCTGGCAATGCTGTGCACATAGCAGGAGCTTTAATGTTTGTTGGCTATACTAACAGTAAAGCTAAATGAGGTTGCATTGACTTGCCCCTTTTATTACCACCCTTTCATACCAAAAGAGGTGCAGTGAAAGCTGATAATAATAACAATAATTCATTCCTAAGAAGCAGCCTGGCAGTGGATAGAGTCCAGAAGATCTGGGTTCAAGTCCTGTCCCTAATGTACTTTACTTGTATGCCCTCAAGCAAACTAAAACTAAAAGTTGCAGTTGTCACTGCTCTGTGTTGACTTAACAGAACCACTGACTTAACAGAACTATGGACAATACAAACACAAAGGTTTCCAAAATGAAGGAAGCAAACACGGTGGTTTTCTTTTTTTTAAAAGTCAATTAACTTTTAGCTTTTAACATTCATTTTTATAAGATTTTAAGTTCTAAATTTTCTCCCCCTTCCTCCACTCCTCAGTTCCCAAGATGGCATGCATCTTGCTATACATATACATTCATATTAAACATATTGCCACATTATTCATATTGTAAAGAATCAGAACCAAAGGAAAAAACCATGATAAAGGGGGAAAAAAGAGAGAAAATAGTATGCTTTTGCATTCAGACTCCATAGTTCTTTCTCTGGTTGTGGATAGCATTTTTTATCATGAGTCTTTTGGAATTGTCTTAGATTGCTGAAAAGAGTTAAGTCTATCAAAGGTCATCTCGCCACAATATTGCTGTTACAGTATACAATATTCTCCTGGTTCTGCTCACTTCCCATAGCATCAGTTCATGTAAGCCCTTCCAGGTTTTTCTGAAATCCACTTGCTGATTATTTCTTATGGAACAATACTGTTCCATTACATTCATATACCACAACTTGATCAGCCATTCCCCAACTGATGGACATCCCCTCAATTTCCAATTCTTGGCTGTTGAGGTTTAGGGGTGCTAGGACCCCAAAATAGTGACACACAGGTCCTGCCCAAATGAATATGATCCAACCCTTCTTTCAGCCAAAGACAAGGTTTATTAGAACACAGATAGAAGGCTAGTGAGATTTTAAGAATCTGCCATATTGGCCAGACTCATAAGGAATCTAAACATTTGCATGGCTAATGCAAGTGGGCCAGACTGAATCTGAGCCATTGGCCAGATCTTAAAAATCTGCACCTTAATGGTGGCCAAGATGGGTCTTATACACAGAAAGACTGTGGGAGGGATCTAGGAGTGGCCAAGTAGTTTGGGGTAACTGAGAGTTATGAACCCCAAGAATCCCACAAAACCCAATTTGAAAACACAGTCTACCCTGAGAGAAATGAAATTGGGGTGCATGTGTCCATGGTTTAGTTTCTCTCAAGCTGGCTTGACATGCATTGCATGGGAGAGTTCAGTCTAAACTGGCTTGAACTGGTATTTTGGGGGGTATGGGTTATATGCCCGTTGAAAAGTTGGGTGTTCCCAAGGGATGCCAATCAACTCTGGGAGATGGGCTATATTAAAATGAAGGTCTTTCAGTGTGTGACCCAGGTCACTCAGGCTTGGTCAAAGAGACATCAATCAACACTCAATTCTCTATAAATTTTACAAATGAGGCCTTTATCAGAGACACTGGCTGTAAAAATTATTTCCCAGCTTTCTGCTTCCCTTCTAATCTTGGTTGCATTGGCTTTGTTTGTGCAAAAGCCTTTCAATTTAATGTAATCAAAATTATCCATTTTGCATTTCATAATGTTCTCTATCTGTATGGTCATAAATTCCTCCATTCTCCATAGATCTGACAGGTAAGCTATTCCTTGCTCTTCTAACTTGCTTACAGTATCATCCTTTATATGGAAATCATGTACCCATCTTGGTATACTTTTTCTATGCTGCATCACTTAATATAAATCAAAATATCTTTGTCAATTTTTTTTATTCCATTAGATTTTTTTCTTTTGGTCTAGACTTGTGGTTTTATCATTGTTGAAGTCTCCAAATCAAGAAGGTTTCTTCTACCCACAAGGATCTTTATTGATAGTGCAACTTTCAGTTTTAATTGCCAGGGGCACTGAGTTTAAGTGACTTGTACAAGACCAGGCAGCTAGAGTGTGAGCAGGAAGAAAATGAACCCTGATTTTTCAGTAACTATAGAATAGCCAGTAGGTTGGCTATTCTAGTACATCGATGTGTGACCTTTTCAGATATCAGTTCTAGGCTAGAGAAAAAGAGATCTCTGAGCCTTTGCACTTGAACTTTCTCATCTTCAGAAGTAATTGAACGATCTTATAGATTGCCTCCAAAACGTTCCTCTAGCAACTCATTTGTATAGAGTGACAGAAAAAACTTAAGAGCTTAAAAAAAATGGGGAACTCTTCACCCCAGAGCTTTTTGGTCATTATTGGACAAATGGCCATTGTCTTGTTGAGACCTAGGATACAGAGATGAAGATTTAAGTTAGGGTAAGGTATCTCACCAAGACAGCCCAGCCTTGAATCAAGAAGGCAGCCAGGTGGGTACACTGGGCCTGGAAACAGGAAAACCCGAGTCAAATCCAACCTCAGACATTTACCAGCTATGTGACCATGGGCAAGTCATTTAACCTCACTTTGCCTCATCCTTATCTATAAAATGGGGACAACAGCTACAAAATCTACCTCCCAGGGTTATTTTGAGGATCAAATGAAATAGTTACAAAGTGCTTAGCATAGTGCCTGGCACATTATATGTTAGCTATCACCGTTCTTATTAAGGGCAATTAAAAGGCTAAATCTGTTTTCCCACTTCCTGTCAGCTGAGGCCTTAAGGGAATATAACTGGACAGTCTGATGGTCCTAGGCTTAGAGTCTGCTCATTCTGTTCTCAATTTGAATGTTCCCATTACAACCTACCTAGACATTTGCCCATGTCCTCCCATACAGGAAGTTCAGGGGATCTACCTAATCTGCTGAAGAGCCTTCTTTGATTTCTCCTGACATCAGGAGACCAGTGAAGCACTCTCTCTTGCCAAATGACCTGCTCATCTTTTTTCAATCAGGCACTTCATTTATAACATCCTAGATTCCACTTCTTCAGTTTTGTGATGTGTTGCACTGTGTGAACACTCAACATGCACTTGTCTATTATCCTTTTTGTAATACTGTTTTCCAAAGATTGTTGGGTCCTATGCCTCACAGCCATGTAATATTGGTCTAATAGTGGTATAAAAAAGAGGGGCCTTTGGGGCAGTGAGGTGGCACAGTAGATAGAGCACCAGCCTGGATTCAGGAGGACCCGAGTTCAAATCCTGCTTCAGATACATAACACTTATTAGCTGCGTGACCTTGGGCGAGTCACTTAACCCCATTGCCTAGCCAAAAAAAAAGGGGCCTCTGTTGGTGGGAGAAGTTTGGCATAATTAAAGGAGCTTTGTGATTTCCTTAAAGTAATTTAGCCTCCACTTTTGTTTAATTCTGGACCTAACCTTTTCACTTCTGGTCAGTAAACAATAAACATTAAGTGCTTACTATGTGCCATATTATAAACAGACATTTAGACATATGTTCATTCTCCATTCATTTGGTTTTTTTCCTGTGTGGAAGAGTTAGACCATATGTGTGAGTAATTCTAGATCTCTTCTGGGAAGCTCTATAATTAGTGTCCTGGGGGCCTGATGCAAGTAGAATGTGTTCCAGAAACAGGAACCTCCAGAGAGTCTCATCATCCATAGGGAACTTTAATTTCTATCACAGCAGCAAAAAGGATGAAAATGGAAAGGCAACAAATAAAAATGAAAACAATCAGCAAATTTTTTTTATATTACTTTTACCATTGATGACAGTTGACCCACCACCCTTGTATTCTGCCCTTACAGTACTGGATGTGTTTACAGGAAGTAGAAATAGGAATAAAGAGAACAAATAGTAAAAGCAGTTGGATTAGAATGAGTGAGATTGGAGCTGGAGGCAGCACAAATGTGAAAGCAAGAGGAGTTGATAAATCCCTGATATACTGAAGTGTATTTCAAATATTTTTTCTATAGGCCTATGATCTTCAAAAGTGTTCTCAACTTAAGTGCTACAGATAGTATTAAGAGCTGGGGCTAGCAGATAAATAGAATGAAGTTAAAGAGAAATCTGGAATGAGTCAGAAGCAATGCAATTGGCAGTAGGTCAGTTGGGACTGACTGGCTTTCACTAAAAAGAATGGTTCGTTTCTTTTTTGGTAAAGAGATTCAGTAGGAGGGCTAAGAGAGGCCATTTATGAAGAATTCCCAAGAAGTTTACTCTTAAACTAATATAGAGGTATTATATAATTTAATTTACTTCAAGTAGCAATGGAAGTTATGTGGTAGAAATTCATGAGGGTCTAAAAGACTGTCATTTGTTGTGACTAGGTAGTATGGTTATATGTATCTATCTCAACTGCTTTAAAACAGTCTTACCAGCAAGTTTCAACACTTTCCTATGATTTGTGTTTAAATTGCTATAAATGTCAATTTAATAATTAGTATGCCTCACACACTTGATGGGGCTTTGTATTAATATAAAAAAGCAAACTCTGTCCACTGCATTACATCCCATATCTTTCTCAAATTGTTTTATTACTTGGGGCATTGTATGCTTAATATCCATTTAAAAAATTTTATTAGTATGGTTCCCAAATCTGACTTCCACAATACATTGTTCAACATGGCCAAATAAAAATAGTGGAAGAATACATTAAGTGTGAAAAGTAAGAAAAGTCCAGTCTAACTCAACATGCATTTTGCATACATTTGCAGTAATTTTTTTTAAGATGTACAAATTACATGAATCTGTGCTTATCACTACTGAGTCTCTGTATATAACTCAGCTGGATTAGGAGCAAACAGTGGCAAACCTCCTCATAGACCCAATTCCCAAAAATCAGCCATGATGAACTCAAGCACACTATGGAATTTGGTGCCAACCACACCATTCTGCTCTGATTCAAGTTAAAATGCAATTTCTGACTAATACTTCTGTGAACCACCTGATCCTCAAGAACTCAGGGCTACATCTGAGTATTTACATTTCCTTGAATAAGGATAGCAGAGGTTTCTGAGACCAGAGTCCCTGCAAAAGGGTAGTGGTCTAGAAATGAGGGCTACAGTCTTCTAACATGCTGTCAGTTATATAGCTGGACTGAAGATGGCTTTCATAGAACTTTTTCTCTTCATAGGTATTCACAGTCCAAGCAATAACATGAATCCCTTTAGCTGACCACCTCTTCAAATAGGCCCTGGAAGAGAGGTGGAGAGACACACAGACAGCCTATTAGGATACTGAACAACTATCCTTTGTAATGAGAACAGTTACTAGGCTATACTAGGAAGTTACTAAGCAACCTACAATAAGCAGGGAACAGAGAAATGTTTGGGAATACAGAATAAAGATAAAACAGACTATACCCTCAAAGGGTTTATAATCTGTTAAGAGCAATAAGACTGATAAACATGTAATCAATAGAAATACTGGTTGGGATTTAATGGAAGGAAGAATACAGGGGAAGAGGGGATAAAACCCACATCACAACCACAATCTGTTCACTTTCCCCCAGTTTTTAAAAAGAGCTACTGCACTACCATGTTGATGAAACTTCCACTGAAAAAAAATCTTTCTTATTCCTTAAAAACATCAGAGCAGGGTGATGGGAAACAATAAAAAATTTTAACTTACGTAGATACAAAATCCTTCTGCATGAGGAAAGCTGAAACTCCACAAAGGTACCACAAGATATTATGCAAACTCCAATCTAGGAGAATATCCAGCAGCATATATAAAAAATGCTTCCAAAAAGAATCAAAGCGTCGTTTCCCGTCTCCAAAATAGCTAAGGCTCCAAGGTCTATGGGTTAGAGCTGTCACAACATTACGGTCTGCTTGCCTCATCTGAAAGAGAATTTTGGAGAATAATGAGTGAAGTCACAAAGGAAAAAGTTTTAAATTATGTCTTTAGATTTGAAGAATGTACTCAACACAACAGATATTACAATGTGAAGGGTGGATTACCACTTTTTGCTTAAAACAACCACAAGATTCAATAAACCCCTACAGAGGAAGGTTGCTTTCCCAGTTGATGTCCTAACCCCACTTCCTCTTCGTGATCTCCCTGCCCACCCATTTTCTATTGAGTAAATAAATCATAAATTCTTAGTTGTGTTGTGACTTTGTGAAAGCCGTAGCACTTCTTTAGAGCTCAGTTTTCTCAATGTAAAATGGGATGGAAAGGGGGGATAAACCAGCGGTATCAAATTCAAACAGAAATGAATGTCATTAAGCTGTATATAAGGATCCCTGGGGGCCTCATCTTGAATTAGTTTTAAACTGAAATATCACCTATGTTCAATTGTATTTTTATCTTGTTAAATATTTGCCAAATCCATTTTAATCTGGTTTGGGCTGCACTCAGGAATACTGCGGGCCCCATGTGAGCCTGCTGTTTGTTTGACTCTTCTGGTGGGATGGATGATCTTCTATCTAGTACTTGAGTACTTCGAAAGTCTGTGGTTGAGAATTTTTCAGCACATTGTGTGAAATGATATTTGCTATTCACAAAGAATCCTTTTTTAAAAAATAGGAAAAACTTAAATGAATATAAGGCAGTTTCAGTATTTTCTAATAATATTGAGGACTAAAATGTTTAATGTATATTAAGGTAGATTCTGGCTAGACTCCCTAATTCAGCTCCTATCTCCTAAGGGCAATCTCTCCTACATATGTCCTAGAACCTACTGCCTCTCATCTTCAACCAGCAGATTTCTGTTCCAACATTGTCCTCAAATCTTGGCAGGCTGGCTTCCAACTTCATAAGGCAACTGAAACTTCTCTTTCAAAATTACTAGCTATCTCTTAATTGCCAAATCTATTGGTCTTTTTTTAATCCTCATCCTTTCTCAAACCTATGATCAAATGAGATGATTTGCAGAGTCTTAGCATAGTGCCTGGCATACACAGTAGGCACTTAATGCTTACTCCTCCATCCCCCCATTTACTGTACTTGACATTGCTGACCATCTTCTCCTACTAGGTAACTTTTTCTCTCAGGGTTTTTAATGACATTACTCTCTCTGGTTCTCCTCCTATCTGTACGACCACTTTTTCTACATCTACTTTTCTCTTTTATCATTCATATCATTCCCTCTAACTATGAGTTCTGAACATTTTCCCAAGACTGTCTTTCTATACACTCTTAGTGACTTCATCAGCTCAACCATGGAGTTGTCATCTCTCTGCAGAAAACTCTCAGATCAATATATTCAGCTCAGTCTCTCCCCTGGGCTTTAGTCACACTTTACTTAATGGACCTTTCAAACTGGTAGTCCTAGAAACATCTCAAATTCAACACATCCAAGGCAGAACTCAATTTTCCTTCTCCCCAAACCTACCCTTCTTCTAAACTTACCTATTCAAAAGCACCACCATTCTTCCAGTCTCCCAGGTTCATAACCCCAGTGTTATTCACGGTTTTTCACTCTCCACCACCACCATATGTATAGACTATTCCAGTTGACAAATCTTGCTGTTTCTACCTCTATAACATTTCACACATTTAATTCCTCTCATCTTACATAGTCACTACTTTAATTCACGCCCCCATCACCTCTCAACTAGATTACTGAAATAACCTAATTGGTCTCTGTACCTTAAGTCTCTCCCCATTCCAGTCTTTTCTCCATACTAATGATAAAGCAATTTTCCTTAAGCACAGCTCTGACCCTTTCAATCCTATACTTGATAAATTCCAGTGGTTTTCTATTGCTCCTGTGATCAAATATATACTCTGATCTACCTTTAAAAGCTCTTCAAAACCTGGCCCCAACCTATCTCTATAACCTCAATGGATATTACTCCCCTCCTGCACTCTGCAGGCTGCTATGCACCCAAAATAGCTCTCTGCTCCTCACACATGACTCTCCATTTCCATGACTTTGCACTGGCTGTTCCTGGAATGTACTTACTCCTTATCTCTACCTCATAGAATCCCACAGAATCCTTTTTCTTCCAGCTCAAGTAAAATAAAGGCTTTCATTTGCATTTATTATCTTTATATTTATTCTGTGTAAACTTACACATGTACTTACTATTTGCCTAATTAGAATGCAAGCTTCTGGGGACAGCTAGGTGGCACAATGGAAAGAGCACCAGCCCTGGAGTTAGGAGGACCTGAGTTCAAATCTGGCCTCAGACACATAACACTTATTAGCTGAGTGACTCTGGGCAAGTCACTTAACCCTTATCCCCTCTTTCCCTCCCCGCCCCGCCAAAAAAAATGCAAACTTCTTGAAAGTCAGGATTATTTAAGTTGCTATAATCACATCCCCATCACCTAGCAAAGTGACTGGCACATGGTAGGAGCTCAATGAATCCTTATCAGTTGATTGATTCATGTTGGTAAAGTTCAGTACTAAAAATGTGAAAGTTAATACCAACATAGGTCATGGTTAGTGATGCCCCATTCCATTGTCAAAGGCTAAGCCCCCAGTTCATTTTGAAAAAAAAAATGGTGCTATTTATCACAAAGGAGGCAGAAGGGTTGGTGATAGGATGTATATAGATTGTCAAATGCTACTACTTCATCAGAACTTGGCACCTATACTGACGAATCAATATTATCATCACAGATCATAAGCACTTTGAAAAAAGATTACATTTCACCTTATAGATAACTTCTGGCATGAAAGAGCAGACAACACTGACGTTGTATAACTTAGGAAATTCCATATACATATGTTTTAGAGCATCAGCAGCCTATAGAGAAGAAAATGAAAGATTCATATGTACAAAGCCATTTAAAATATGTCAGTCAACAAGAATTAATCATGTACTGTCTATAGCAATGCCAAATAATTCAGAGAGGTGGGAAGGAGGGCACCAGAGTGAGATGCTAAAAGAAATACAATAAAATCTCAAATGTTTAAACTCACATCACATAGGGTAGAAGCTGTGGCATTGCTACTTTGTTCTACTTCTTTGTTGGTAGTCTCACCTCTTCATTGTACAGGTGGGATGCTCCTAAAAGGAAAGGTTTGAAATTCCTTCCCCCATATCCTGGTTTAGCCTTTAGGAAAGTTCCTTTAAGCTAAAATATTTGATAAACATTTCCATAATTCTAGAATAGTTATCAACTAGGAAAACAGGGAGCTCAGAGGACAGGGAGTTCTCTTCAGGCTGGAGCCCAAGTAAGTGAAAGAAGGCATAGATGGCACAATATAAAGAATCCCAGGCAGGATCAGGAGAATCAGACTCTAAATTCTGCTCTGTAACCTTGAGGAAATCACCTCATCTCTCTGGGCCTTTTTTCTTCATCTGCAAAATGAGACTTGATTATCTCTAAGTAAGTTCCATTCTAGTTCTAATGTCCTGTAAGAAGTGATTTCATCTATCTCTAGCACCGAGTGAATTAGAGATGAATAGGGTGGGGGGAAAAGGGTAGTCCTTCTCCAGCTTTCCATATAGACACTGTATGGTTTCATTATTTTGTTCGAAATACTGGACATTTTCAGAATGTCAGTCATGGAACATTCAAATATAAGCAATAAGAGTTTCATATAAATGATCTAGAAATATCCAAGCCTCTTCTTCCTTTCATCAGAGAATGAGAATTGCCTTTGTATAAGACAAAACTTTTCTCTTTTCTTTAATCCCGTGATAGTATGAGTTTAAATTTCTGTATGCTGTCTTATTTTACTTTGATGGCTCAATTTTGATATATGTCCAAGTCATTTAAATATGACTTGGTACTCCTTGGTACATAAATCAGACTTGATACACTCTGTGTGTGTGTATAAATTTTTTTTACTACTCTAAAAACCTTTTTTTAAACTAATCACCATGCACTACCCAACATTTAATTCTGAATGTTACTAACCTAGTGGTTATTACTAGAAATAGAGGTATCCTATTCTAATTCTTTATATTGAAGGATGAAAGAAGAAAGAGGAAAAGAGCCAAGTGGATCCTGAATAGGTGTCCAAACCTCTCTACTCCCACCACTAATTAGGAACTCATCAGGAATCCTATTTCTGTTTGCATCCCCTTCACAGAAGCAACTGGGCCTCTTCAGTATGTGGGAATGGAACTAGGGCTTTTCTCTAGGTTTATCTAGTACTGAATATATTGTGTTATATAACATAACCAGGAATCTCTAACTAGGCAAATGAAACATTATTTAGATAGAACAAGCACCTGCCTGTTCTGGTCGTGTGTGTGTGTGTGTGTGTGTGTGTGTGTGTGTGTGTTGCAGGGGGGCAGGACAGGAGAAGCAAAACCACCACCTCTGTATCCCACTTTAAGTATGGATGTATCTTATTTTACAAAATATATTCTTGAAAAGTTGTCTATAAACTGAATCATGTATTCCCAATGATTTTCATTATAATAATGTGCCTATGTTTTCAGGGGAAAAAATTTTGGTTGTAGGATATAAAACTTAAGAATGTAACAAATCTTTTAAAAAGATATTTAATGACTACACAGTGACTTCCTAATAAAAGAATACCCTTAAATATATCAAAAAACACTGTACCAGAAACCATGTTTCCTTGGGACAAGATCCATGTGAAAGGAAAATGTACCCTGTAAACTGCCTATCTAAACATCCTAAATATTCTGGATTCTGAAATCTTAAATTTATCAGCCAAAAGCAACTGACCACACACTGGGCATCAGAAGCTTACAGTTTTTAGTTTTAAAGTGGTTTACTTAGAGCAGCTGGGTGGCGCAGTGGATAGAGCATTGGTCCTGGATTCAAGAGGACCTGAGTTCAAATCTGGCCTCAGACACATAACGCTCACTAGCTGTATGACCATGGGCAAGTCACTTAACCTCATTGCCTAGCCAAAAAAAAAATAAAATAAAGTGGTTTACTTGAGCAATTTTTTCTAGGCTTTAAACTGTTTACTTAACTAGGTCCCTGGATAAAATGATCATTTTAAGAGATAAAGATCTGATCAGTATTCTTTTCTACATTTTTTTGCTAGTAAAAACAGCCTGACCTTTTCTCCTCTGTGTTCTCTTTGATATGCAAAATATTTGGATTTCCCCATTAGGAGGTAATTAAGAACTATCGAACAATACATTTTCTACATTTATTATCCTATCAATTTATATCTTTATGATGAGATATAAGCAGGATATACCTGTGTTAAAAATACATTTATGACAAAATCACACCTAAAATGATTAATTTGGAAATGATTGGTGGCTAAATAGGATTTTTTTTAAAGTAGAGGTCCACAGCATAAAACTGTACCATAGTTGCATGGCTCTTGACATCAAAGTAGATTGTGAGGTTATGATCTAGACATTCCACAATGGCTTCCTTCAGAGTAGGTATTTTTTCACCAGGGAAATTATTCCTATAAAATGGAAGGAAAATAAGATCACAGGAAATGAAGAGAAAAACAAAAGTTCATTTGAACAGACTTTCTCTTTCTTGCAAGTTAATCTTGCAGTACAAGGAAACAGTATCAATCCTCATTTATTCTGCTCATCCACGTCCAATTAAAAAGAATTTTAAAGCAATATGAACCAAATTACAATTATAGAGTTTAGTGTCTTAGAGTGTAACTAAGTTAATATTTGTAATATAACTCTAGCTTTGTAAGTCTGTTTAGTAAGTCTACAAAAAAATATATATATAAGTTATTTCAAAGAATTCTAAGGCTCTGGTTTCTGACCCAATGTCTCAATAAGCAGGAGATAAGTAACTTCAGAAAGTATGAGAGGCAGCTTTCAACCATTCAAGAATAGCTCCAACTTTTCAAGTCTTTAATAATGTATCATTTTATTACATGGGTACTCACTTTGTCAAATGCACTTTTGCAACCCCTCTGTATTTAGTGGAGAGTCTTTTTTTTTTTTTAGGCAATTGGGGTTAAGTGACTTGCCCAGGGTCACACAGCTAGTAAGTGTCAAGTGTGTTTGGTCTGAGGCCGCATTTGAACTCAGGTCCTCCTGACTTCAGGGCCGGTGCTCTATCCACTGTGCCGCCTAGCTGCCCCCTTTAGTGGAGAGTCTTTAAGAATTACTGTGATATCACTGCAGCCAACTTGATGATAAGCCTCTCCAGAATTAGCTAGTCTATTCATCAGATGAAAGAAATAAGGCCTGCACACCAAAGTCTTTTGAGCTAGTTAAGACCTTCCAGGCTATATGCTCTATGGTTGCAGCATTTGGGAACAAAACCTCACTTCTGAAACACCATGATGTATAAGATTTCAGTGTAGAAAGGCCAACAATACTTCTTTCAAAGATGGACTAATAAAGAAAATGAAGGCCAACCGCTATCATCTTCTCTTAGTTAAGAGGGGAAAAAAAGTTTTTCCAATACATTAAACAACACCTCACCGCTTAGGGGTTCCCCAGCCCTTTATATACTCATAACAAAGCAATGATATAGTTGACTAGAGTAAGCAGGAGTGGTCAGAAGAGTGAACATAAATAGCCAGTGTAAGAATTGTACTTTCTATTCTCATTAAAATTCTTTTTTGTACATTCATTCTAATTGTTCTGGGAAAATAAGGTCATATTCATTTTAGAGTACAGATGGATTGGGCCAACTAGGTGGTGCAGTGGATAGAGCACCAGCCCTGGAGTCAGGAGGACCTGAGTTCAAATCTGGCCTCAGACACTTACTAGCTAGTGGTATGTCCCCGGGGCAAGTCACTTAATCCCCATTGTCTCCAAAACAAAACAAAACAAAAACACAACACAGAGTATAGATGGATATCCACAACTTGGTTAATGGGCTCTATGTATGCTAGGAATATGTGTTCAGGGTATTCCTGTGCAAACACAAGAAACAACACAGCAAGACTTGGCTCAAGGCATTGGGCTTGTTTGGTACTTTCATAAATTTTAACTTGAATGATTAAATTATTGATGAAATATGCTTATTAAATTTGCCAGTGAAGATAAGTTAAGAAGAATGGGTGATGTTTCAGAAATATTTTAACTATATTTTATTATTTGAAGAATTGAGAAGAAGGAATATAATAATGTTAATTTGGGAACAGTGCAAAGTAATTCAAAGTAATTACCGAGGAGATAAAAATAACGTCCGTAAATTTAAAAAAAAATTGTTGGCTTAGTGCAAGTGAAATAGAAAAGAATGTAAAGATCTTACAATGCATACTAAACACCAGCAATAAATGTAAATGCTAAAAAATCATGTTTTTGGAAAAAAATAAGAGCATATATGAAAACCATGTGTGAAGCAATATTCCTAACTATGTATGCCTGGCTACTATGCCAGCATTGATCTGGTCTGTGCAAATATCCCAGATGCCATTCTTTGCCTGAAAAATATGGATAATTTAATTTAAGAGTGTTTTAAAAAGTACTTACTTCAATCTGTGGTTTGCTGCTGGATTAAGCTTCCTAACATCAGCAAATGTCAAGTCACTCAAACGTCCTGTTCCATCAGTAGTCCTATCTACTGTCTCATCATGCATTAGGATAGGAACACTATCTGCGGTAAATTCAATGTCCAGCTCCACACCTGTTGCTCCATTCTTAGCTGCCTTAACAAAACATTAACATTATTAATGTCAGATGGCCATAATTGTTATTTTTCAGTCCAATCACTAAACTAGATTAACAGGGCTGAGCCCACACATAGTAGGTATTTGTAGGGAGGGAATTCAAGGGATACCTCTGTCATGGAATCTAATCCATTTAAAAACATTAATCAGATTAACTAGCAGTCCCATGAGGAAGAGGGAATAGGACACAGGGCAACAACACATTAATATTTGGTCAGGGAGAGGTAAGAATGGGTGAGGCACTGCCAATGTAGGTGACCACAGTATATGGCCTGGAGCAGAATGGTCCAGGATTTGGTCCAACAACAGTTGCAGGTAGTACTGGGTTCATTTCTTGGCTCTACATTTTAGAAACAGTTTGACAAGCCGGAGGGTTGACCCTAAGGACGTGAAAGGACCTGATGTCATGACCCTGCTGTACAAATTCTGTTTCAAGGACTGTGGATATTTAGCCTAGTAAAGAAAACTTAGATGTGAAATGGTGGTCTTAAAATATTTGAAAACACGTTATTTAGAGGAAGGGTCAGGCCTTTTTTGTTTGATCCCGTAGTGTTGAGGGCCGATCTTAAGAGTCTAATATGGGTTTAAGATCCAGGGCAGAGCAGCAGTCTTTGAAGTTAGGATGGATTTTCTCTATATACCCTGTACCCTCAGAAAAATAAACTGAGTTAGTTTTCTGCTCCGCCTGGCCCCATTTCATGTCTTATTTCACGCCTCTCCGTTTGGTATACTATCTGGTTGCTGGAGACAAATGGCGTGTCGAACAGTGACGAAGAGTCAGAGAGAGGACGGTTCCCTTGAACGCTCCGGAGGAAAAGAAACCCTTGCTGGCTAATACGCCAGGAAACAAGGTCCTTAAGTGGCTGGACGCTGCGGTACTAAGGTAAAGGGAACGAGGGTCATTACAGGTTTCCCCTTAGAAATATTAGGACTAAGAGGGGGAAAAAAAATCACCAGGCTTACGTGGGAGATTATAAATTACAAGAAATTGATTAGAAAGTTTAGAAACAGGCTGGGTACTTAGAGCATAAGAAATAGTGTCGCTTTGGAAAGGCCCACATACATACTTTTGATCTTAAGAGGCACCCTTAAGATCAAAAGTATGGGTCAGGTACAAAGTGGAAAAAGAGATAGAGATTATTACCTAAGATTACTAAAGAAAATAGTGAAAGAAAGAGGTTTAGTTATTCCAAACAGTCAGCTACAGGAATTTTTAGAAAGTGTAGAAAAATGCTGCCCATGGTTTCCACAAGAAGGAACAATTGATTTAGAGAAATGGGAGATTGTAGGCAAGCAACTACTAGTAGCAAAGAAAGTGATTGGGCAGATAAGGGGGCAGGAACAGACGAGGAAGAAGAAATGCATAAGGCCTTTGAGGAACAGTTGAGCATAGTTGAAGAGGACGGGGAAAATGTGCATTCTGTTAAACAACAGAGAGATGAGTAACAGAAAGATGTACATTTACCTTCAGTTAAACAACTGCCTGGGAGAAAATTTAAATGCAAGGGTGTGTTAGAAAAGGAGATACAAAGGGCAGAAAGCAGAGGGGAAGAAGTGCCCACCAACTTAAAATTAGCTAGGTAAATAAGTTTAAGCATGTAGGAGAGAGCAGTATGTATAGCAAGCTTAAGGAAGGTATAATTTATTTGCACAGTGTGATTAGGGGTTTTGAAAGTAAAAAGGTTTTGAAACTTTTTGAGAATTGTTATGAAAAAATTCTCTTTCTTTTTTTGCATTCTAAAGCCCTGGCCAAAGCTTTGGGTGTAAGATTGAAAGATTATGTTGAAAAATATTCTCTTCCTTTCTCTTGAATTCCAACTCTGGCCGGGTTGGGGTGGGGGAGAAAAAAGGAGAAGATGAGGAGTTTTCCTCTTCAATTCAAAAAGAAAAGTTTTTAAGTATTGGAACACAATCTAAAGATAATTTGGTTCATTCACATTAGCAATATGCTTGTTTCAAATTTTAAAAATCTAGTATCATTACAAATTGGTAAACTTTTGTATTGTTTTGTGTTATCTCAAACAATTTTCAATAATTTAAGATGTTATTAAAATGTGAATTTAAAAAGACTGAAAGATAGTGGGAAAGCTGTGTAAAAGCCAGCTAAATTATTTCACCAAGTCCGGTTAATCTTGCTTTGTAATGTTTTCTAACTGTCAATTAGAAAAGTCAGGTATTTCCAACTTTACCTGTAATTAAAGAACAGCTTATAGTTAAAACAATTTGACTATCACTTATGAAAATTACCAGATTGTTAATTAAGCTATTTGAAGTTACTGTTTTAATGTTAAAACCTAGAATTTTTAATTACTTATGAGTGAAAAGGAGGGGCACAAGGCAATTCCCTCTACTTTGTAAATTTGTCAGGGCTCCTGGAAATTATCTGTTGTGGGCAAGGTTATCTGCCCTGGAAATAAATAAACAAACAAATAAAAATAAAAAAGAGAGAGAGAACTTGTTAAGATTATGTAGTTCCTAAACAATTAATTTAGCTTGCTGAGAAGCTGCAACTATATGAAATGATTTCTAATACTTGGCTTTTTTTTACCAGAAAAAGTTTAAATTTGAGATAGAAAGATGTTAAGTGAAATCTCTTATGTATGTGACTCATGGTAAATCTTTGTTACTTATTACAACTCCATGAGAGTAAAATTAACTATATCTGGCTTTAAGCCATGATTATTAGTGAAACTTACTGCTTAAGGTAAAAGACTTTTAGGACTACAACTAATTTTGTTTTGAGTTTTAATTTAGGTATAGTCATCTCTATTAAATTAGTATTTGAAGTTTTCCTATTAAGGAATGCTTTCCACCATGTGCAAAAATTTTGTTCATAACACTATTAAACCTGTTGGGCAAAAATATTCTCAGACAAAAATAATTTACTATATGGATGATAAACTTAGCGAACTTTCCTTATTAATGTGTGAGCTAAGCTCTTTAGTCTCAAAGATTTATAATTACTCCTGGCTAAGGCACAAAAGAAACCACCCTTTGCTTATTTTAGACATATTGTTTCACAGTCTACAATTAGACCCCCAAACTATTACAAAACAGGCAAGATTCTTCTTTTTTTTAAATTTAATTTAATTTAATTTTATTTTTAAAAATTTTTTTTCCATATGCTTTTGAGTTGAAAATTTTTTCTCCCTTTTTCTCCCCCCCCCACCCTCCCCAAGACAGTGCACAATCTGACATAGGCTTTACATTTACATACCCATTAAACATATTTTCACATTAGTGAAGTTGTAAGTAAAAATTAAAACCAATAGGAGGAACCATCAGAAAGATGAAACAAAATTCAACTTAAGGTAAAAATAAGTGAGAGCAATTCGACTTCCACAGTTCTTTCTTTGGATGTGGACAGCATTTTCCATCCCGAGGCCTCTGGAGATGTCTTAGATACTTGTAATGCTGAGAAGGGTTCAGTTTAACAATCTTAGTCATTGCATAATATGGCTATTATTCTGTACAAAGTCCTCTTGGTTCTGCTCACTTCAGCATCAGACCACATAAGTCTTTCCAGGTTTTTCTGAAGTCAGCCTGTTCATCATTTCTTATAGCACAATAGTATTCTATTACATTCATATACCACAACTTGCTCAGCCATTCCCCAATTGATGGGCATCCTCTCAATTTCCAATTCTTAACAGGCGAGATTCTTTAAAAACTTTTAAAGATATTAATTAACTTTGGCCTGCCTAGTAGATCACCACTAATCAATTATTTTAAGATGAATTTAAACTAAGTAGAATAATAGATAGCTGAAACTCAATTAATTCCCTTTAATTTGTGGGGGCAAGATATTTTACATCTAAGGGGAGCTGTTAGTTAGTTTGGGTGAAACAGTGGCTTTTGACAAAAAGGAAGCTTTTTACAGTAAAGCAATTAGTTGAGCAAGACTTTTAAAAGGACATACAGAATTCTTTACAAATCCTTGGAATTCACCTGTTTTTGTTATTAAAATGAAGTCAGTGAAATAGAGGATGCTTCATGACCTCTGAGCTATTAATGAAGTCTCCCTTCACCCATTATGAATTCTGTTTCCTAGCCTTTGATAGTTATTGATTTAAAAGACTGCTTTTTTACTATTCCACTGCAAGAAGCTGACAAATGTTGTTTTGCTTTTACAATACCCAGTGTTAATGCAGAACACCCTGCAACCAGGTTTCAATAGAAAGTCCTTCCTCAAGGCATGAAAAACAGCCCTACAATGTGTCAAAATTTTGTTAATAAAGCTATACAACCAATTAGGAAAAAATTTCTCAATGCAAAAATAATACACTATATAGTGACATACTTTGTAGCTGTTCCACTGAAAACTCACACATTTATTTCCTCAGCCTCAATTAGCTTTACAAGAATATGGGCTTATTATAGCCCAAGAAAAAGTTTAAGAAAAATCTCCATTTTCCTACCTAGGTCATATTGTCACCGAAACAACAGTGAAGCACTTAATGAATTTTCAAAAACTTTTAGAGGATACTAATTAGTTTTGACCATCATTCCAAATTACTACAGAACAACTGGCTAATTTCTTTTTTACATTTAGAGGAGATCCTAATCTAAATTCCCCTAGGACATTAACTCCTGAAGCAAAAAAGGAGCTTTATTTAGTCAAACAGAAAAATTCCTGAAGCTCAACTCACCCATATTTTTTTAAATGAAGAGGTACCAGGTGCTATTCTTAGTACTCCAGTGTCCCCTACAATTTTTAACTTACAGGAAATTTACTTTCTGTTATTAATTAACCTTATAATAAAAGGCAAATAGACACTCTTGTTTCCTCTTAAAGAATTGGCAAATTGCTATTACTATTTTTTCTGGTCATATTGATATTGATAATTACTTACCATTTCTTAAGATATTAACCTTTTTTACTAATTATTCATAGGTATTTCAAAAAGATTGTTAGATTTAACCCCCTTCCGTCAGCACCCATGACATTCATCGATGGGTTAAGTACAGGTATAGCAAGA